ACCTTTAATCGCTTCGCTTAACGGTTTGCCGGGCTCAAACGCCCTACCAGTTAGCCACACTGACTGCAGCTGTAGGGAATTCAGGTATGGACACGTGACCAAAATATCAGCCAATAGGGTTCCGCAGGTGTCGGTGAGGTCATTGCACGACAGACTTAGTTCTTCTAGTTTGGTTGATGAGCTTATTTGCTGTGAATGAAATAAATTTTACAGATGGAATTTGAGAGAATCGCGCAAAGGATCTTGGGTGCAGATGGACCTTTAAAACGTTTTGAAGAATTCACAATAAATCTATACTAGCGACATATACAAGCGTCTACGGGATTAAAATCACTTTACTGTGCCTTAAGTGTTCAGGCAAGGCAAAGTGATTTCAACCCCGTTCATGAATAACGTTCCTGGCGAGACAGCAGTGGCTGGTACAACAAGGACAGCGGTAATAAATTCAGCAACACCGTTTGAGTAACGATCATTTTGATAAATTTCGTAAAATCAATCGCTTTTTTGTGGCTAAGACAACATATTCAGGATACATTTCATATGAGTAAAACTTTATTTATTATCGACTATCACAGGCTGGATAAATTCAGCAACTTCTCGGCCTTATATGTCATAAGTTCATTTCTAGCGTCCTTGCGTCTACAAACCTGTTGATCAGCGGATTTCTTGATTGAGTTCACTAAGTGTTTGAGTCCYTTGTGTGTCAAACCATTGCAGCGTAAATCTAACACTGCGAGGTTTGGCAGGGTATCTAGGCAGCTGGCAATATGCTGTAAGCCGCTGTCACCTTGAAGTAGATGAAAAATAAAATTGAGACATTTGTTTGAAGATTTGTTTGTGTGAGGGGTGGGGTGGGGAGTGAGTTTTTCTGCGAAGTAGAGATAATTCTTCTGTTGCTGTTTGACCTTCAGGAAAATGAAGACAGACATAGGGTGGGGGGGGGGGGGGGGGGGGGGGGGGAGGGGAGGAGGAGAGAGAGCCATAGATCCCATGAAGCCCATCAATTACCTATTTTATTTCCCGGTAAAATTAACTTGACGAGCCTGTCGTGGCACTGCAGTGCTCTGGCCAGCGGTAGCACATCAGTAGGCGATATGGCTGCGTTTCGTAGACTAATAACTGAAATTTGGGGATCAGCTTGAAGTGACGCTAAGATCATTTTTCTTACTTCTGTTGAACAATAAAAAACAGAGTAATTAAAATTGGAGAAACTGCGTTGTTTTCTTGTAAAAGTTCTACGTCGTTACTATAATATTTTGTGGCGCAAATAAGACAGAAAAGGACATACAAACAAACAGGTCAACTTACTCGAGTTATTGCTTAGGCAAGCAGTCTTATATCGTTCTGACAAGGGAGGCAGGTCCCACGATTCAAGTGACGCTACCACCTGTTCGTTATTCGATAAGACATCAGCTATAGTATCCTCTGGGGAGAGGTAGGCACCCTCACTGGTCTGTAGCACAAGAACAGGKCGAAGACCATACGCGGTGAAGTACCGTAGTTGGGCCTAAACAGATGAGATATTATCAAGTACAGAGTTATTTTTAGGAGGAGCCGATGGGTTCCTGAGAGAAATATATCTATTCTTAGGTCCCAGCCAGCTGTAAGTCACAATTGATTGCCAGCGAGAAATTCAGGAAAAAAGAACTCTCAAGGCAAGGAATACTCTCTAAGAATTTCTGGCAGGAAAATAAAAATTTCCTAACGAAAAAAAAAAAACGGTTTGATCATAAAAACGTTATATAATCCTTTTTTGATCTTTAAACGTTTGCCATGAACAAAATTATCTTAAAGAAGTAAGGGCGCCACATTTGCTTGTGAGATTGTCAACAATGTAGCTCAAAATCCCTTTCCCAGGAAAAATTCGTACAAAAACAGTTATTTAGAAGAACAGACCCCGTCTACTAAGCGGACACCTTCGGATTTTTCTATAGTGGTCGTTTAATAGAGGTTAGTCGCTGAATAGAGGTATCACTGTATTTATATAGTAAAACAAAATCCACCTTGCTGAAATTCATAATGAGGAGAATGGGACTGGCAACGAATGATAAAAACAAGTTAAGTTAAAATTTCTCGAGTGTCTAATTTGGAATCCTCATTTTTTTTTCTATAGAATACATGATCAAATTCTTCTACTTGCAGTTTTTTTATATTAATATAAGAAATATGAAACTCAAAAGAACACACGTTAATTAAGTCTAATACATATAAGCCTGGCACAATATTGTTATCATCAAAAAATATTATTTCAATGCCATCTAGATCTTTGAAACACTTCGCCTCATGTAAGTAAAGGATTCCGGATACCAAGAGCTGGATTCCAGATTCTGAAACATTGTATCCCGGATTCCAAGTCTTTAAAATTCCGGATTCCAAATAATTTTTGTTTTGGATTTAATTTTTTTTCTGGATTCTGGATTCCAAATATTTGGATTTACGGATTTCAAAGGTGTTTTTTTTTTTACTCGATTCCGGATTCTCTTTCATAGGGCGAAATACTGTTGTATAGCACAACATTTGCCAGCAAATGCTTTTAATATTGGAAAATGAGTGGTGTCAGTTTTGAATTTTAGTTTGCGCGGTTGTCAGACCAATAAAAACATATAACTAGAAAGCTTAGAAAAAACAACACAACAACACAAAGAAAAAGAAAAAAAAATTACCAACCCTTGCATTTCTATCAAATATAATTCGTACGCTAACAAGTTTCCCATCCAAATTTTCCATACTCCGCCCACACCTCAAATGTCAAACGGTAACCCCTTCAGTTGAATCGACGTATTTAGTATACTTGTGTCTTACGAAAAAATCATTAATACCTTTAGAAAAACAAGATAAATAAGATGAAAAGAAATTATAAAAATGAATAGCAAACCATAAGGTTCCACTTTTCGCAAAAACGTTTGTCTAGAATTTGTGCCGTCAGAAGTCAAATACAGTAGTGTCAAGACGGGGCATATGTTGAAAGTCAGTACCTCGCGATTCATCGCTAATTTTCTACTTTCGTGCTCAGCTGTGAAACTATTGAATTTAGACGATATCATACAATTTTAAGTTTTATTTCAAAGAAAAGATATTAGTAGACGTGTCGACGAAGATTTTGGCTGCGGCTAATTGCAGAAGGTACGTACATAAATACGACGATTTCTAACTACGATTACAGCATTCCTTGTTCGCTAAGCAAGACGGACGATTAAATTCAGGTGAGACATAAATTACTGTTTTTTTTGACGGGGAAGAAGGGTCAACAAGGATAATGCTTGGAGGACGGACAGTTGAATCACCCGTAATCGAAAAAAAAACAGTGTCCGTTTTTAGAAACGTCCGACTATGAGAAGGGTTCACGACATGATGTATATTTTTCCTTGCAGATCCAAGTACAATGATTAAAGTGTTCCTCGTRGCGCTCTTTGTGGGAATAGTGGCTTCAGCGATTGATCAGAACGTTGCCCCGGATCAAGATGTTCCTGGCCTCGAAAAGCGACAGGGAGCACGTAAGTTCGAAATATGATTTTTTTTGGGAAAGACTAAACCGAGGTTTTTTTTTCATTACATCATCGCATGATACACTGTAAAAAAGGTTTTCTGATAGAATGACAAACAAAACAAAATAAAACAAAAACAAACAAACAAAGCAAAAATACACCGAAAACAAATAATAATAACAATCAAGCAAAACGAGAAACTGAGAAAAATGTTAATGTCAACTGGATTAACAAAGCAAATGCGATTTTAACTGGAAAAAAAATCTAGATAAAAAAACCTCAGATGCGCAAATAATAATGGAAATGTATAACTAGTCTTATTCATTCATTTTTTCACTTTTTTCTTTACTAATTCAGTCTTTTTTKTGTGTTTCAAGATCCAGTGTCAGTCAACGTCCGAGAATGCCTACGGGCCCATAATGCCTATCGCGCCCGTCACGGTGCACCACCGCTAGAATGGGACTCGGCTATGGCTCATGAGGCACAAGCATACGCCGTAACGTTAGCAAGGACAAAGTCAATGAGGCATTCTAGCATTAGATCATATGGAGAAAACTTGGCGATGCGACARGCGTGGGGTAGYGATGTAAAGTATACGTGCGCACAAGCTACAAAGGACTGGTAAGTAAATGTCGGTATTCCTGTGGTKGTTTGACCGRGAGGATCTAGGTCTGGTTTATACTAAAATGATTTGCTTCACACTAGGTATGACGAAGTGAAATATTATTCGTATTCAAGACCAGGATTTTCAGGAAAAACGGGACACTTCACTCAGGTATGTACATGTGATGTTGATTTGAACGAAATACATTAAACCATTAACGAACACACTCACCAACCACCCCGAACAAAAACCCAGCCGACCAATGAACCAACCAACTAGCTAATTGATCCACCTTTCAATCAATCAATCAATCAATCAATCAATCAATCAATCAATTAAGCAATCAATCGATCATTTCATTTTTTTGTTGAGAGAAAAGTAGAACTGGCTTCTACTTTTTTCAACGTTTTTCGGAAAAACGCGTGTGAGACATGGTCTCTTGCAACTTCCAAAATTATTTTCAATTAGGCGCACAAACCCAAAAGAAAGCGATAATCTGTCCTGTTGTCACTTGTTGTAATAATCAACAAAGATGCCCGACGCCATCTTTGGCGAAAGCGATTATTTTGAAGAAGAAAACGAGAGAGAAAGTGAGATGATCGTACATTTTCAATTTACGCGTGCAACTTGAA